AAATACTTGACCGGTTGAACCGACTGGTTTTTTGGCCGGTTTTGACCAGTTCAACCGGTTCGATCGGTCATTGATCGGTTTTTGACCGGTTTTTGAGACAGCCGGTTTCTTCCATAGAACCGGACCGGTGAACTACCCGGTTCAACCGGTCGGACCGGCCAGTCCAATCCGATTTTGACAACTATGCTTTATATTACGAGCTCATTAGTCATTATATTATTCTATTTAAATTTTACAATATACACTCATTTTGCCCTTCATTTTATTTCATTATTGCAATAACATAAACCAAGAAAAAAAAAGTTTTATTATTGAGTGAATCGCACGTGCACTTTAATAGTTACTGAAGAAAATGCAGACATAAAAACAAGTAAAAAAGCAAATAATAAATCAAGAGACTCGAGAAGTGAGGAGAGAAAAAATATTATGAAGGTGTATCAAGAATTCAAAACGTTGACATTCTATAAAACACAATCACACTAAAATAAAGCCAAAACCACAAAAGGTTTCACCTTTATGTACACTCCAAGAACTAATAAACTCCTAATCAATCTAGTAAAATAAAACAATATCTAATTATTAAGTCCTAAAATCGTCCAGCCCCTTTCTTAGAGAAGCTTCCTGTGCCTTCTAGATGATTCTCAGTCACTTGGCACCCAAAAAAAACTCGTCCAGCTCTCCAGCCGCTTGTTGTGATGGGAGTCTGACGATAGGAAAACCACGACTGTTGAATATAAAAAAGTGTTTAGTAATATTTAGATTCGTTTTTCTTTAAAAAAAAAATCCTGTATGATTTTTATTTTATTTTGTATTTTTAATTACTTTTTCTTTTATTATAGCGCTTTTCGTGCAAATGCATGGCGTAAAACTAGTATCATTAAATTCTTAGTTCATGAAGCAGTCAAATTCTACTCCCAACACGTAATCTATATATATATAATTGCTGGCAAGCTTCAATAAATTTTATTCAGCCAGCTTTTAATAACAATATGAGTTCATTTAATAAAAATAGGTGTTCATTTAATAAAAATATGTTCACCATTCAATAATATATATATATATATATATATATATATATAAATATATATAAAGAGGAGCAACAAAACATTTAATTTTATTACCATGCATTAAATTTTATTCTCTCTCCAAAATTTTTAGCATTCAATTTTATTTTTAAGTTACAAAATAACTTGCTTGAGTGTCATAAATTATGAGCTAAACCAATTAAGAAAGTTACAAAATTGTATTCAAATTTTAAGTCACACCCACTCATGAAAATGGCCGGGTGTATTAGCATAAAGAAAATGGTTGTAACGGTTCTTCCATAGCAATTACTTGATCAAAATCAATTTTGAGAATTATTTTCATAATTCATATTTTTTTTTCATGAATTAAATTATGATTTTTTTTTTATATTCTTATGTTTTTAAAGTATTCGTCTCTGTGCAAATGCACAGGTTGATTACTAGTAATATATAACTTTCAGTTACACAATTTATTTTGACAGATCCCGTTTTGGATGGTGCCCATTTATGTAACGTCTTTTCATGTCATGAAATACAAAATATTTTTCTTTTTATATTGATACTATATTTTTTTGGTATCATATAAATATATATTTCACAATTAATTAAGAATAACTACAAATATCTCCATTTTTTATTGCTTTCATACAATAATAAAAAAATATGTTTTGGAATATTACAAAGATACATCAAATATTTTAAAAAATCAAATTCTAGAGTCACGAGTCGAAGAGGTTTAACGATAATGATTTATTGTGATGGGGAGTCTGACGATAGGAAAACCACGACTATTGCATATAAAGAAGTGTTTAGTAATATTTAGATTCGTTTTTTTTTTAAAAAAAAATATCTTGTATGATTTTTATTTTATTTTGTATTTTTAATTACTTTTTCTTTTATTATAGCGCTTTTCGTGCAAACGCACGGGGTAAAACTAGTATCATTAAATTCTTAGTTCATGAAGCAGTCAAATTCTACTCCCAACACGTAATTATCGAAATTCCATTGTTGGTGAAATTCAGAAACCCTAGATTCTGCACCGAGCTCGAGCCCTCGATCCTCGAGTGTCGTACGAAGAGGAAAAGCATGTCGTGCCCGCGGAGCAAGCCCTCGTACAACGCCATGGCGAAGATAAATGAAGTCAGAGAAGGGACGATGCGGAGGAGTTGGGCCATCTCGCCGAGATCCTTGCAGGGTATAGAGTGAGCGAGACAGCGCCATGACGACTGCTTCATGAAAATCGGGGAAGAAAGAGGAAGGAAATTGGAGAAGAAAGGAGTTGGATGAATGGGAATATAAGGGAAGAAAAGAGTTGGGATATTTATGTAAATTTAAAATCAAAATAGTCATGAATAACAAATCTCACCTCATAGGTGGGATACCTAATGTTGAAAGATCTTAATAATTAACCAGATCATGACTTATTTCAAGAGCTTATTTATTAGAACATTTTAATAGGATAGATATGTTATAAAATAGTGTTATATCACGCAGAATTCATCAACCAAACGGACCCTAAACACATAATATAACAAAAAATCAATAAAAAACATGGTCATATTTCTTTTTTATTTAATAATTTTTTTTTTCCACGAATATCCTCTACACCTTCAACATTCCTTTTCACATGTAGGAAATGAAACTTCAAATTTGACTTGGGCTCACCTAACTTGAGCCCCAAGTTCCCGTCCCCAAGTCCCAAACCCTTTCTAAATCCCAACCAATCACCATATACAGTTAGTCCTCATTTAGTTTATAAGCTTTCTTTTACATTATAGACACATCTACTTTTTCATTTAATTTAGGCCGGATAGCAACATGTTGCTTTAATTAATGTCTTTCTATTACAAACTCAATATTATTAATCTATTTAAACTTACATTAGAAACTCATTTTATTATTCATTTTATTTCATTACCGCAATGACATGAATCAAGGGAGAGAAAAAAAAAATCCCTATCAAATGAATCGCACGTGCACTTTACTAGTTACTGAACAAATGCTGCGAATAAAAACAAGTAAATAGTTACTGCACAAATATAGTTACATCATTTAGACTAAACAAGAATTCCTGCATATGCTTGGAGCTCCTCACTATTAAACCTTTCCTTCAGCTTGAGCATCGCTCTCTTTTCGAGCTGTCGTATTCTCTCCCTCGATACTCCAAAATCATCACCAATTTCAGCTAGGTTATATTGTATGCCATCTTCCATTCCAAACCTCATCTCGATTATTTTTCTTTCTCTAGAACTCAGCACGCTCAAGAGACTACGCACGTGTTGTCTCATCATCTGCTTAGCTAAATCCACTTGTGGGTTTTCATTTGATAGTAAGTATTCACTGATTTCCTGTGGCAGATTTGAGAATGTGTATCAAAAAGAGTGCAACATTTTTTTTATTTTTTTTCAAAACAAACAAAACTTGCTAAATTTGGGTCAAAAAGTATCAAGAATCACTTGCAAACTAATAATAAGTTCGAATTGATATCGAACACTAACACCATTAGTCCATTACAATTGTCTTCTGGGTCTTCTTCTGCGTCTTCATCAATTAAAGAGTCTTCATTGATTTCCTGTGGCAGGGCAGTTTGATAAATGTGTATCAAAAAGTGTGCAACATTTTTTTTTTTTTTTTTTTTTANTTTTTTTTTTTTTTTTTTTTTTGTGAAACACAAACAAACTGTCTATTTTTTGGTCAAAAATGTATCAAGAATCACTTGCAACTAATCATAAGTTCGAATTGATATCTAACACTAACAGCATTACATTTTTGTATATCTTTCTATTATACAGTAAATGTTATCATGTCACCACATGCTATAATGAAATTGGCCAAAATATATTCAGAATGTGCTCAAACAAATATTTTCCTATTTTCAATTATATAACCAACAGATGAGTTGAACTGTAATTGCACAGTACCGAATGGGGAGTTTTCATCATTTTCAACATACCCTCTGAAAGAAATGCCTAAAAACATGCAAACACTACAAGAGTAACAAACAAAATTACCTGATATGTAATTCTTTTGTTTATCCAGAGAGCCCGTTCAATTGAAAGCGGGACTCGAGTAGCATAAAACAATATTGTCTCTAGCCGATCAACAGGAATTCCAACAAGAGCCGCTAAATCTTCATTTTCGGGGTAGAAGTTACCTTGTCTCATGATTTCTTTCTTTGCTGCATTCACTTTGAACAGGAGGCCATAAACATTCCCCTGAAAACATGATATAAATCGATTTGGATTATTTTTCCCTTGAATTTTAAAACATGAACAATAAGGAAAAATACACATGACATGGAGAAAACGTAGAATTTAAATCGAAATGGGAAATATTTAGAAAGAGGGGTGTTACAGGCAAGCGGATTATTCTAGAATCCTTATATAGGGACTTCATAATCGACTGCTTTATCCAATAGTACGCGTAGGTATTAAATCTGCAACCTAAGTGGGGCTTGAATTTCGTTAAACTCCTCATCAGACCCATGCTTCCCACCTACAACAAAAGAAAAAGGGCCTTGTAAAATCATAATAACTTGCAAGACATTAAGAAACTATATATACCCACATATGTATATATAAATAATACCCACATAATAACTTGAAATGCAAATCTTCAATTCACCTGCAAGAGATCTTGAAGACTTAGACCATGCCCTTGGTACTTCTTAGCAATGTGAACCACTAAACGGAAATTGGCAAAAATTAACCGATCCCGGCTTATATAACCACGTTGAACCCGAGACAGCAAGGCATGACAGCTAATCCCAACTGCCTCAGCCCACTCAAGTAATGTAGGTTCACGGGAAAATCGAGTTTGTAGCTTACTTTTCACTTCATTGAGTTGCATTAACTCCTGGTAAACAAAAGAAAAAACAAAAAAAAAGAAACAAAAAGATGCTTACAGTTGCTATGAATCTTCATACTTAAAACAAAGGCTATCTTTTAGAGAAAAGTCAGCAAATAATGACCTGTATTTTTTCGACTAGTTTGGACTCTTCTTGTGCAGTTAAAAGCTGTCTTGCTCCCGGTCGCGATAAGAAACGTGTAACGGGATCTTTCTGGTCAAATCCGCCATAAAGTTTTCGACTTTGATGCAATTCTGAATTCTTTTGATAGTTGGTCTCGTGAAGCTCGAATTTTGGTTTAGGCACTCTCTTCTTACTTTGCCTCTCTAATAGACGTGTTGACCTAACAGTTCTTTGAAAAGGAACACCAGCCAAACCTCTAAGAACCCAAGCTTTTAGGCTAATAATATCAACTGAGAGATATAAAAAATGGGGGAAAAAAACTGTTTCATAATTACAGAAACCCCACTCTGCGTTAATTACAGAGCCCAAAATTATTATACATATTTGTAAATTTGGAAGACTGCAAAAAATTTTGAACTTCAGCTAAACCCCAGATGTAATTCTTGTATTTATTCTTAATTGCAACAAAATTCTTACAGAAAATAACATAGGAGATGGATAGGAGTGAGGATGGAAATAAAAAACAAACCTTTTACTGAAAGATTCATCACGATGAGCTGCAAAAAGCTCAGCATATTTAGCAACTGAGGCTACCTCTTTGCAAGCTGAAAAGGCTTCCCTAGCAAGTGCAGCTGCACGGTCAGCTCCTACACCTGTTGAATTTTTGCTGTTACTGAAAATGGACTCTGATGCCAACGAAAAATATCGACAGGCAGCGGTGGCCCAATATTCATTTTCCCACAAAGTTGGAGGAAAACTATAAGAATTTAGAAATGATGCTTGTTTGAATTACCTAAGCCCAATAAGATAAGAGATGAATGCATCAAAGAAAGAACTTTCCATATGATTCTAATTTGGTTGACCAACACAGTTAATTTCACCATTCTTGGCTACCAGTAAGTTAATCAACCATCATAATTATCATCTCTAATAGCATTTGCATCAGAATAAAAGCAAACATTAATATAGTGCTTCATGAACATGAATTTCAACTCAAAAGATTCGATCAAAACAAATGTAATGCCATTAGCATTAGCATCAAAACAAATGTAATGCCAATAG